GGGGGGGGGGGCAAACAAGGTGTATCAGCGTCGAAGCGAAAGTTGCGAATAAAAAAAAAAGTTAGACAAAGAGAGCGCAACGCCTCCGCACAAAAAATTTGTACCTCAAGCTGAAGTCAAGTTGATGAGCAGTGGAGGTTGATGGTGAAAGAAGTCGCTCAAGTCTGTGAGATCGTTTGCAGTAAAGTTTTAACAGATGGTAACACGTATCTCGCGTCATGAACTTGTTTTCTTCATCTTCATCTTCATCTTCGTCTTTTTCTTCCATAAAGGGTGGCCGAGGAGGGGCACCATATTTCCCATAGCTGGAACTTCCCTGCATGGTAAAAAGATATTTTGGTTTGAATGCTTTCGAGAATTCCCTCTTTTAAGTCTGTGCTCACTACAACTAGGAAGGCTAAAGGGAAAGAACTCTAACAAATTATGTGCTAGGTCACGTAATTACGTAAACATAGCAAGCTACTTGAAAAGAACTTGCCTTGAAAGAAGCTTCATACGCATTCAATGCATCTTGTATTGAAGATGTCGGTGAACAGTAATACCTGACAAATGAACAAACAGTTTGTTAACTCGTGTACTCCTAAAAGTTGCCAAAATTAAATTTAAAAAAAAAAAGAAATCTAAATTTCTTTTTGTTAAATCTTAAGATTTAAATAGTTCTGTGCAAAAGTTCTGTCGAAGAGGTTTTATATGAAGGTAACACCCTAGAATTTCATCCAGAGACTCAAAAGTTAGAACTACATACAAAACAAATAGTTCCATGTGAAAATGCTGCTGAAGAGGTTTCATTTGAATGGTCACACCACGGGATTTCAACCATAGACTCAAAAGTTAGAACAACATACAAAACAAATAGTATCATGTTGTTGTTGTTGTCTTTTGCGGTTTCAGTTTCATCAGGCGCCAGTTTTCCCCTCCCCCCTCCACCCCAACAATTTCCTCACCACAAATGAACGGCAAGTACTCTTTTCCAATCCAGTCCTTCGCAAACGTTAACTGTGTCATGTGTCAAGGGCCATACCATCGCGCCAGCGAGCAAAGCGTAAATTTTTATTCTCTCTTCATCAATAAACATGTCTGCCTGTTTAAGAAAATTGAAACGATGTCAAAAACAAATAAAATACAGAGAAAAAGACTATAGAAAGAGGGAAGATGAAAGCCAGCCATTTATTTTATTTCATTTATAAATGGCAAGCCAACAGCATCCAACAACTATTATTGCTTACAACAAAAACAAAAATTAAAGTACAGAATGTTGCTATTAGTATCCTAGTAGTCTGAAACTACAAAAAATAAAAAAATTATTGAGAATTTGGAGGGAAAAGTTGAGAATTAGCGAAACCAGCGGCTAGCCATTTCAAACTGAGGACAATCCGGGGCTGGTGAGTTCATAAGAAGATCAACGCTGTGATGCGGGAAAGGGAGGGAAATTCTACCACACAAAAACAACATCAATATGTAACGAAAGATTAGGCATTGTTTGTCAAAAGGCAAAAAAGGCCAAATATGAGTTGCTGCTTTCAACCCAAGTGGGTTGAAAGCGGCAACTCCTGCACTTGGCTGACTTTCGCACATTCAAAAGAGGGAACGCTAACTTTAGGTCCGATTTTCAAAAGTTGCGATAACTTTTCGAGATGGCGGGATTTTCAGTAGGGGGTTCGGATTTTTTCTTTTAAAAAAACGGACAAAATTTAAATCAATCGGACAAGTCTTGCAAAGGTGCCGACAAAAAATGAACCCTTCGGATTTCATTTTCCAAAGGACGCCGACAAAAGTTTGAGGGTTCGGATTCCAGCCATCATTAGGGGGAGGGGGGTGCGGATAAAACATGGAACGTCCCCGGGCCCGTAATACGCTTAAAGTTTACCCAGAAACAGCGAAAGATTTGGACCAAAAAAAAAAGGAAAATTCCTTTCTTTGACTTAAAGAATGTCATTGCCAATACATAACTTTCAAATAGCAAAAAAAAAACAAGATTTCAATACTTGATGTAGACATCGAAGGCATATAAAAGATTATTGGGATCGTAAAGTTCTGTTGATTATCCCGAATACTTATGTATCCATTATTGCACCTTCATTTCTTGCCAATCGCTCAGCTGTTTGTAGATGAGGTTCCGTGTCGCCGAGTTTCCTGTAACTTGTGACAACAAAAGTGACAGTCGATAGTCGCCATGTTGCTGTGCCGCATTACACGCCCTACTAATCTGCTTTCCGGTTAAATAACTGAAGATAGACTTCAAGTGGTCGCTTTCCTACAATACAAAAAGGACAAGATAAATATTGTTTGAGGTTACACTTAAATATAAAAATAACCATCCGTGTGCAACCGCTTCTTTTCGAGATAAATTTACCGGGGAAATAAACTTTGAAACGTCAAAAAAGATCGAAGGAAGTGACTATGAAAGCTACCTGGATGTTTCTCTCACGTTGCGATGTCAAAGGGTTTCACAAAAAAAACAGCCAGTCACAAGAGTGTTAATTAAAATTCCCGCGAAAAAGACGTACTGTGTCCGGAAAAAAGGCGGGAAACAAACGTAAGTGTGGCCGCTCTTACTTCGGTAAAACACAGGGTTGCACCATGATAAATATACCGCGAGAGAAATACTGCAGGAAATTCACTTTTTCTTAAGGCGTGAGTGACCCCGACAATTTAAATGTGCATAAGATTCCCCTACAAGAGTCTCCTTTCTACGCTAGTTTTAGTTCATTACCAATAAAATAATCCGCCTTGATTAAAAGTAAACAACATTTGTGTTTCAGTGCGTGGGAGTACATACTTGAAAATTAGCTTCATCAACCTCTTTGGAGATTCTTGTCTTTGTCGCCTCAGCGAGCCACCTTGATAAAGCTTCTTTCCTTGCCACACGATTCTGATAGGATTCCCTCTCATCCCTAATTCCTTTCAGAACTTAAAAAATAAATTGAAAAACAAATAAAAAACGGAACGAAAAAATCCCGGGAAATGTTACGCACTAAGGATAAAGAAGTTATAATTTATAGGATTGATTCATTGATTGATTGATGATGGTGATTGTTATGTTGATGATGATGATGAGAATTACATATAAAAATAATTAAAAATGCGAGTAGAGGAAAAAAGCACTAATCATAAGCAGATAAATAGTGAATGAAACTAACCAATCAATCTTTAACAATATAGCTTAGCCCGCGAGCAAGCTGTCCAGGGTGCTCTGGCGGCGGGGCGGGAAAAGGAAGGGGAGCTTGCGACTACGTCTCTGGCTCTCCTTCCTTTTCCCGCCCCGCCGCC